GTGAGCGCGTATGCCTCTAGTGCTGCGCCTAGCGGCGAACGGCGAAACAGAACTACCCCCACCGCCAGTACCTGGCGGCAGGAGGCCACTCGCCGCGCGGCCCGGGGACCGGACCGCGCTCGGCGTGGCAGTTGAGTTTTGGCTGAGCTTGGAGACAGTCGTGCCTCCCCGCTCCACACCGTTCCGCGCTACTAATTGATCTTGTCTCAAAGACCAATAAATACCTGGTTATTGCTCTATCCTTGCTTTTCACTTGACCTCCTCTGCCTCCTAGTGCAACCGCAGTGCCCCTGGCCCGGTTCATAACAGTATCGTGGGGCCGTGCTCGACCACCCTCCCAACGCTGTTGGAAGGGTGGTCGATCTGCTCACCGACTGCGTGTGGGTGGCGAGGTGGCGCTGACCGTCCTATATCCGGAGCAGACAGACAGACAGACAGACAGACAGCATTGGATGGGCGTTGGCATTTTCCTCCAGGAACGACCCCCTTGGGTGGAATTCCATTGAAATTCATCCCTGCCGCCACCGCTGAGATGACTGGTATCGCCTCCCCCGCACCGCCCCGCCCCGCCACACCCTCCGGACCGCGGGAGCCGCACCCCGGAATACCTCGTCAAAAACCCCCGATGGGGCGGCGGGTGGGGCGGCGGGGCCCGCAGCCAGCGCTGGCGGGTCAGGCGGGGACACATTAACACGTTGAGTCCCACGTGACCACACGCGTGGTCACAATAAGCTGTGTTTACCAACCGCCAACGCCTCGCCCTACTCCGCCCGTTACACCACGCCACCAGGCCAGCTTATAGAACTTCTGAGCTGCCCGTCTGTAACCGTCTGGAAGCGACCCAACACCAAAAACAAACCCACAACACAAATGTATTGCGTTTCCCCTCAATTAAGGAGAATCGCGCAAAACAAAAAAGGTACGAAAGCACTGCCTGCCCGGGGGGGGGGGGGCTGACTAAGAGAAGAAAAGTGTTTCGCAGAAATAATGAAGAACGGGGCATAATTGCGTTTAGTTCTCGGGTACATAATAATCCCCACGTTAATTAATTCATATTTTTAAACGAAGCAGGGATTTAAGCGTGCTTCGCCGCTGGTGGTTTGCCATGACCGCGACCAACGGACCGCTCGGGACGGCCCTTCCGTGTAGTTGAGCGAAACAGACCGGACAGGAAGAGAGATAGGGAAAGCGGAACTGAAGTGACAGGGGGGAAAAGTCGACCGGATAAAGTGCCCGTACGTTTGTGCGAGAGTGGGGTAGCGGGCGCAATTTCTTTTTGAACACGTGGGATGTGCAGGGCACCCCCATTAGGGAGGTGGAATCAGCAGAGCAAGCTCCGTGTCCCCCTGCCAGACCGTGCCAGACCCTTTTCCCTTTACTTTCCTACTGCTCCTTCTCACCGTATTATCCTCTCTCCTATTTTCATCTCTCCCTCTCCCTCTTCATCTCTCTCGCTCCCTCTCTCTCTCTCCCTCTCCCCCTCTCCCTCTCTACCTCTCCCTCTCCCTCTTCCTCTCTCTCGCTCCCTCTCTCTATCTCTCGCTCCCTCTCTCTATCTCTCTCTATCTCTCTCTCGCTCTCTCCCCCGCTCACTCTCTCGGTCCCCCGACCCAGCCTACCGCGCAATGCATGGCACAACGCAGGGAGTACGGAGTACGGGCAGCTTTCTTTATGGCGCATAAACTGCCCGTTTAGCCGGACCTGTCCCCACCCAGGCGATCGCCTTGCTTCCCATGCCCGCCGGGCGCGGTCAGGCGTGCGCCGCGCGAGCACTGCGCTGTCATGGGGCCGATGCCGTGCAGCCATGGGGACTTCATGGGGACCTCATCGGGACATGGGGACCTCATTGGGACCTCATAGGGACATGATGGAGACAGGCGCGCAGCACTCAGACATCAAAGTGAGCGTGACGCCGCATCTGATAGCGCTCGTCGTACAGCAATGTGACGGGAGCGGGGCGGGGCGGG